ACGTTACAGTGCCATATGTACATACAGTTGAGAGTATAAACATATAAATACATGTACAGTACCTATCTATCATATTAATATGAATACAATCATACAAATCTATAAACACATATATGCAATCCATGTATTTACAGACATGCATATATACATATATAATTTTGAATTATGTAATTTTAAAATTGTCATCACATACTGCATTTTTAAAAAATGAACAAATATGGGAGTTTAAAAATATTTCAAAAGCGTTGTTTTTGTCTATGAAGTCAGATGAGACCAGGCACCTTTAGGCTGGTATGGCCGTAGGCAAAAGCATTGTTTTCTATAATAGTCATTTCAGTAATACTTCAGTTGACTCTAAAATTGTACTTATAATGTTGTTTAGCAGTAATTGGACTGACAGTTTAGAGAGTGAATTGAAGTGGAATTTTGCCAAATACATTTTATACACTTTTTCTTAGTTTTTGTAATTATAATTATCATTCAACACTAAAAGAAGCATAGTTCTCTAGATCATTTTTCTTTCTTAAAGGATTTCTTTTCTCTTTTAGCATAACTTAAACTCATAAAAATCCTCAAGTCGTAAGTGATTATATTGGCAAATTTTCACAAAAATCACCCTCGTGACTATTGCCCAGATCAAGATACAAAATATTCCCTGTGTCAAGAGTACTTACTGTTCCCACTCTAAACTTCTGAAACCGTAAAAAATATCTAAAACCAAACTTCTGAAACCATAGTTTCTCCCTTAATGGATGTTGTTGTATTCTTTCATGTCTGCTTTTTTTGTATTGCATTATATTCACGAGATTCATCCACTAAACGAGATGTGCAGAAGCTTTTAATGCAAAAAGTTGTATAGTGTTCCACTGCAGAATTATTTCATTTACTTACCCTTTCTATTGGTGGACATTTGGATTGTTTTCAGTCTGGGGCTTTTATGAATTATGTTTCCATGGCATTCTTAAACACGGCTTTAGGTGCATATCTATATGCATTTCTCATTTTCACTCCTCATATTGGTTATCTTTCTTTTATTGTTCATCAGTCTTGTCAGGATTTCATTAATTTTAATGCTGTTTTCAAATATGCAACAACTGGGTGGTTTGATTCTCTCTTGTCTAGGTTTGTTTTATTTCACTTGTTAATACTAATTATTATTATTCACTGCCTTCTACTGTTCTTGGCTCAATATTCCACTATATTTCTAACTTCTTGTGATGTATTTGAAGATTTTTTAAAGAAAAATTTCAGGCTTCTTCTCTTCTAAAGACTATAGGTAAGGCCAATTTTTTTCCTCTCAGTGTGATGTGAGCTTCATCCCACAAGTTTGGGAATATCGTATATTTATTGTCATTTAGTTAAAAAGATTTTAAAAGTATATTGTTGTCCGGGTGTGTTGGCTCATGCCTGTAATCACAGCACTTTGGGAGGCTGAGGTGGGTGGGTCACCTGAGGTCAAGAGTTCCAGACCAGCCTGGCCAACATGGTGAAACCCCATCTCTACTAAAAATTAAAAAAATAATAATAATAACTGGGCATGGTGGCAGGCACCTGTAACCCCACCTATTTGAGAGACTGAGGTAGAAGAATCACTTGAACCCGGTAGGTGGATGTTGCAGTGAGCTGAGATCTTGCCATTGCACTCCAGCCCTGAGCAACAAGAACAAAACTCCATCTCAAAAAATAAAAATAAAAAATTACATTGTGTGTGTTTAAATCCATGTGTACTCGCAAAGTGTTTTACTTCATTTACAAATTAACGGGCATTATTTAAGGTGCCTCTTTACAAAACTGACTTCTAGTTTAATTCCACTGCAGTTAGAGATGTATCCTGAATTATTTCAAAGCTTTGATGATTTTTGAGATTTTCCTTCTAGTCGATCATAGGAGCAATTTTGGTAAAAGTTTAACATACACTTGAAAACAATGTGAAAAGAATACAATTATTACTTAAAATGTTCTCTGTATCAATTAGATCAAGTTGAATAATCATGTTCAAATTTTTTATGTCTTCACTGACTTTTTGTCATATTGTTCTATTAGAACTAGAGAGGAATGCTTTAAAATTTACTTCTTGGCTGGGTGTGGTGGCTCACGCCTGTAATCCCAGCACTTTGGGAGGCCAAGGTAGGTGGATCATGAGGTCAGGAGATTGAGACCATTCTGGTTAACACTGAAACCCTGTCTCCACTAAAACCACAAACAAATTAGATGGGCATGGTGGCATGCACCTGTAATCCCAGCTACTCGGGAGGCTGAGGCAGTAGAATCGCTTGAACTCAAGAGGCAGAGGTTGCAGTGAGCAGAGATCAAGCCACTGCACTCCAGCCTAGGTGACAGAGTGAGATTCTGTCTCAAAAAAAAAAAAAAAAATTCTCCTCTTTGTACTGTCATTTTGGGCACACTAAGTAGTGGCCACACCATTATATGCCTACACATTTTTAATTGTTGTTTCTTTTTAGATTTGATTTTTTAACAACATGAAATATCCTTATCTATAGTTATGTTTAGATCTTAAAATCCTCTAACATTATTTACACCGGTTTTCTTTTACTTTCTTATATTTAATGTCTGTTTCTGGTAAGCAGCATATCAAATTTTTTTCCTAAAGTTTGACAAACATCTTTTATTTGGAACATTTATTATTAATATAGTGGGTATGTTTTGCTATATATTTATGTCTTATACACTCAATTTTTCTCTCCTTTTTCTGTAGGAGAAAAGTGATGTCAAATGAGAGGTTAATTTCTCTCTGCTTTCCCTATCTCTGGAGTGTTAGCCTCTTTAGCTTTGGTGCTTAAATAGTTGTTGGGTGTGTGTGTGTGTGTTTCTGTGTGTGTGTGTGTGTGTGTGTATATGTGTGTGAGTGAGAGAGTGAGAGAGAGAGAGAGAGAGGGAGAGAAAGAGAAAGAGAGATCCACTCTGAAGTAGTTTGGTTTTTGCACATGAGTTCTTCACTCATGTGCATTGCTTCTCAGACCATCACTGGATTAAAAAAAAATATTTGACTAAGTATAGGGGCATATTTTTGCCTACTTTTCTAATTATTTCACTTAAAAATCTAAATCTAAATTTCATTTTATAGAGAACTGTTAAAATATATGCATTCCAAGTTTTGAGAGTTGCCTATAGTTTTAATTATGCCTCGAAAACACTTCAAAATGATTTCTTTCAAGAGTATAATTCTCAAAGTGAGAAATATTAGAAAGATTTTTTAAAATTTAAAAAATAATTGATTTTTAGAAATAACCATCTAATTATACTGTACCTAATGAATAATTAATATATTCTATTAGACTGAAAAATCAGTAGATATTACCAATGTAATTTTGCAGTGCATTGATGACATTACCATTTGCAGCTATATTAAAATAGTATTTGTCATTTATATATCAACTTTTCAGTTTTTAAAGAGATTTTCCCAAACTATGAGAACATTATTGGCTTGCTAAGTAAAGGTTTGCTTAACCATGGTAATCCATTGAAATGTCTACGGAGTCCTACCCTAAATTTATTATCCCTTCTTTTGGCTATAAGATTTTTAATTTTTGAGTTTATAAGAAAACAATATTAAATCTGAACTTGATTATATCAGTCTAATACCTTTCTAAAAAATTAACTGACAAGTAAATACAAAGTACAAAGAAAAATTCGAAAGAAAGCAATTTGCCTTTGTTAAAAATGCATTTTGCTATTTTCCTACAATGAAAGTTTGTCATTGGTGATGATGGTGTTTTTTGGTAGTGTCACTAAACTTGAATAGAAAGAAAAGTGAATGAGCAGATCATTCTGACTTAAAAATAAAGTGTTTTAGCTATTGGCAGATGTCAAGACAACCTGAGCCTTAATGAATACGAAGCTGCATACCTGCCATCCTTACCTGTCTCCGGCACAGTTGACAAAACAAGGTAGTCTTGATGTCAAAACAGACTGGGAAGGAAGAAAGACAGACAGACACTTGGGCAGAATTAAGAAGTCTTGTTTCTTCACTTCACGTTTTTTTTTTAAATTTCAATTTATCTCCCAAACAAACTCTTATGTGTACCCAAAATAAAGCATTTACTAACCCACAGAAAATTAATCAGAAAGCATTCTGTACCACTAGTTTCAACAATTTAGTAGATAAAATCCTATTGACCCACTTTTTATTTCCTGTTAAAACCCTGGGTCTTTGTAGTTCGTGTTTGAGAGCCCATTCTGCAGACAGAAATGGTGATCCTCGCTCTCCTTACTAGAGCACTCTCCCTTGCGCTCCCTGTTCTCTCATCTTTGTGTCTTGTTTTTTTTTTTTTTCACCCTTAGGACTCACTACATGTTGGGATCACCCAGTGTTCCATCCCTGGCATATTCCTCTACTCTGTTTCTCTCATAGGTGAAAATTGTTTTTATAATAACCTATACAGGCTACTTATACACAATCTAGATTCTTTTCTGAGTACCAGACTCACAAATTAAATTATGTGATAATCATTTTTTTTCTGTCTCAATGAGCAGCTTAGATTTATCTACTGAGTCTAGAACACTGAGTCATAATTCTTGAATCTAAATACTTCTCTCAGTGCCTAATTCTTACATAGGTTTTCTGCTTCTATTCTTTGCTTTCTTCATAAAGAAACCAAAATGAGATGATGTAAACACATGTTTATGTCTATCTGTCTTAAGATACTTCAGCTGCTCATCACCCACAGGATAAAGTGCAAATCCCTTCACAAAATGTCCAAGACCTTTCTATGATCCGATCCACCACTACCTCTCCAACCATCTCTCTCTATTCTGGGCTGTTTTATTCTTTTAACATATGTTTACTGAAGGCTTCTTATGAGCTATTGTGAGCAAAGGCTGGCATGATCCCTTCTTTGAGAAGCTTAGGTTCCATTGGCAAAGTGATATATTAAATAAATAAAAACATGGTTATAAACCAAGACAAATAAAATGCAAAGATATGCCATGAAGAAATCTAACCTAGTCTTGGGAATTAGGGGAGGCATCTGATCTGATACCCAAAGGAGGGATAGGTTTTTTTTTTTTTTTTTTTTTTTTTTTTTTTAGATAGAGTTTTGCTGTTGTTACCCAGACTGGAGTGCAATGGCACGATCTTGGCTCACCGCAACCTCCGCCTTCTGGGTTCAAGCAATTCTCCTGCCTCAGCCTCCCGAGTAGCTGGGACTACAGGTGCGCACCACCATGCCCAGCTAATTTTTGTATTTTTTTTTTTAGTAGAGACGGGGTTTCACCATGTTGATCAGGATGGTCTTGATCTCTTTACCTCGTGATCCACCCGCCTCGGCCTCCCAAAGTGCTGGGATTATAGGCGTGAGCCACCGTGCCCGGCCAGGGATAGGTATTTTTAAGAAGGAGAAAAAATGCAAATGGGTGGCAAAGTGAGCATTTAAGTTTGGACACAGTATTTGGAAAGCCTCTGTTAAAGAAATGCATTGTGTTTAAAGAACTGAAGACCTAGCACAGTGGCTCATGCCTTAATTGTGGCACTTTGGGAGGCTGAGATGGGTGGATCACCTGAGGTCAGGAGTTCAAGGCCAGCCTGCCCTACCTGGCAAAAACCCATCTCTACTAAAAATACAAAAAATTAGCTGGGAGTGGTGGCAGGTGCTTGTAATCCCAGCTATTTGGAATTCTGAAGCAGGGTAATCACTTGAGCCCTGGAGGTGGAGGTTGTGGCAAGCCGAGATCTTGCCACTGGATTCCTCTAGCCTGGGTGACAAGAGCAAAACTCCATCTCAAAAAAAAAAAAAAGAACTGAACGGAGTCTGGAGTCTGGTATGGTTAGAATAGAGAGTAAAATGTAATATGAAGAAATAAAGAGGTGCATAAAGAGGTAAATAAGGACCAGATCTTTACCTGGACCTCACAGGCTCTGTTAAATATGTGGTACTTTACTCGGAGAACAAGAATCCAATGAAATCTTTTAGAGCTATAAAAATAAAGTGATATATTTAAATTTTGAAAAAAAAGTCCTCTGCTAACAGTGTGGAGTAAAAACTGGAAAGGGGAATACTGTGCACATTGTTGATGGAAATAAAACCTTGTAAAGCCACCCTTGAAGAGTTGGCAGTGCCTTAAATTTACCTTATGACCAGAAATTTCACTCCTAGGTATCTAAGCAAAAGAAATAAAGACATATGACTACACGAAAACCATACGGTTTCAATGCCTATTGTAACATTATTCATAATAACCTAAAGTAGAAACAACCCAAATGTCCATCAACAGGTGAATAGATAAAATGTCATATATCCATACAATGGCATACTATTCTGTAAGGAAAAAGAATAAAGTACTTATACGTACCATGACAAGGATGAATTTCAAAAACACCATGCTAAGGAAGCCAGACACAAAAATACTACTTCTTATATGAGTTCCTGGATATGAAGCATCCAGAAAGGCAAATCTATGGAGACTGAGAGTCTATTAGTGTTTGCCAGGGGATGGAGGTTGGAGGAGGGAATGGGAAGTTAATGCTAAAGGACACAAAAAGTATTTTTGGACTGATGGAAATGTTCTAGAATTGCATTATAATGATGGCTCCACACACTTTAAATTTACTGAAAAAATCAGTAAATTGTATACTCAAAATAAAAAATCTTTATATGTAAAATATTCCTCAGTGAAATCATTGAATGAATAAACAAATAAGTAAACAAATAGAGACGTGGATGTGTAAAAACTAGTTAGGAGGCCACTGTGATAGCCTAGGTTAAAGGTGAAGGCTGAGTCCAGGGCCTGGATGGAGAGAAGGAAAAAAGTTTGAGAAATAAAAGTTTGAGGAATTAAAATCAATAGGAAGTAGGAACAGACTGGACATGAGATCCTTGGTTTGTCCTCTAGAAATGCTGAACTGCTGTGAGTATTTGAACATCCCATGCTCCTTTCCACCTTTCTTTCTGTGTGTATTATTGTGTTCCTTGGGCGAGGCTTTCATACCATCATCAACCTGATACATACCTGACTCCATTAGAGACTCAAATCTAGTATCATCTCCCTTTTAGAGTCTTCCCTGACCCACCCTACCACTATTGTGTTCCCACAGCACCTCCTGTGTGTCTCTGTATTAGCATTTTATGGTATACCATTGTTTACATGACTGTCACTTCACCTTGATCCTGTTGTCAAACACCTGATACTTGGGTCTTCATTTCCATCATAGCATCCCAGCCACATGGCCAATCGATCACAGCACTCTCCTGCTGAGCATTCTGTGGATACCACGGTACTCCGGATGCCTCTCAAAACAGTGCCACAGGCAGCCTCTTTTGATACATCCATAAAGTCTGCTTCTGACTGTGATGTTCTTGATGCCATGTGTATCTTATTTGTCTATGTGTCCTCTGCATCAGGTATAGAAAATGGATACAAAAAATGGATAAACACCTTTTCAGAAAGATGTCTACATTTGATGTGCAATGCAATTTATTAGTACGTATTATATATTTTGTATGGCAATGGTTTCTGATTTTTACCCTCAGGTAGCAAGAAATTTGCTGAATATCATAATAATTTTTTTCCATCTTTTCTTCTAAATCCTGTGTTTTGTTAAGTATAGGCACAGTCTATAGTCTTCCATCATAAACTACCAGACTATAGTCTATGATGGGGCTTGGTCTTTACACAGTAGTTTTTATATTTTAGACATTATGTCTTCAAGAGCTAAAGCTTCCTAAGTCGGGTATCAAGATAATGATTTAGTGATTTATTCCTTTGAACCAGTGACTTTGGTGACTCATTTTTTCCCTAACCCATGCTATTATACACTAATCCATGCATAACATCCCTTCAATACAGATGACACAGACTGTTTACTTAGGATGGTTTTGCAATATGCACACTAACAAAGACTTTGTGAGCAGGAAGAACACCAGTGATTCAACCAACTTTAAGAAAACAGCTGAGTGGTAGACCAGCTTAGCAGGGTGTTAAACATCCATTAATAATGGCAGCATGACAAACTTGAAGGTTTTGATTTTGGTTCACACGAGCACTCCAAATTCAAGGCTCGGCCAACTGTGTTTCTGGGTTTCTGTTAGAGAAAACTTGGCCTGAACACACAGGATATCCAACTACAAGAATGTTATGAGGCGGATATTTTCACAGTAGCTTCTGTGATATTGCTATGGTGTAACACACATTACACATTAGGTAGAAAGGTAAGACACTTTCATTCTTCTCATTTCTTGCCCTAGACATCAAGTACAGAAAAATTATCACAGGGTGAACTGTTGGACAAGGCAAAGAATGAGATGATGCCTTAAGATAAATGTCTCTGTGACTGACACAAAAGTCGAGATTGGACATTTGAATGTTGTAAGCTTCACTCAGAAAACTGACTCATTTGCAACAACACTGGACAAATGAGGTTGCATGTGGATGCACTGGACCCTTAAATACATATTTTTGAGATGGAGTTTTGCTCTTGTTGCCCTGGCTGGAGTGCAATGGCAGGATGTCGGCTGACTGCAACCTCTGCCTCCTAGGATCAAGCAATTACTTTGCCTCTGCCTCCCGAGTAGCTTGGATTACAGGCATGCGTCACCATGCCTAGCTAACTTTGTATTTTTAGTAGAGACAGGGTTTCTCCATGTTGGTCAGCCTGGTCTCGAACTCCTGCCCTCAGGTGATCTGCTACTCTCACCCTCCCAAAGTGCAGGGATTACAGGTGTGAGTCACTGAGTAACCCTTATTTTATCTTCCTTTTTCTGATAACCTTCCCAGCCTTTCTCCACTATGCATGCTGCTTGAAAGCTGTCCGTTATTCCTTTAAAACACATTTTTACCCCTTAGCTTAAGCCAAGGTATCATTTCCTACAGGAAGCCTTCATATCTGGCCTAGGAAGTCCTGAGACTTCCTTTCCACACTTCTTCCTTCTCCTGTTATAGCATGCGTGTATCTTAAATTATTAAAATTACTTGCTTACTTGTCCAATTTCCCCAATAAGATTGTAAAGTCAAAAGGCTGGTATGATACCTACCCTTCCTCCTTTGAGACATCTCGCTAACACAGTACCTGCATTTAAGTAGCTGTTTCATAAATATTAATTGAATAAAGAAGTTGCATTATATAAAATTGTATGTTAAATATTCGACTTAGCAGGTTCATCTGCAATGATTAAGGAGTTAGTTAAGGCAGCAGTTAATTTTTAATAATTCACCAATACTTAGGTGAACAGGTTTAGACAGTTTTAAAATATCTTAGTTGAGTAGGGGGTAAGATTAGGTCAATGCACGCCCAAGACACATAAGGTTTTCAAAGGACTTTGCATAAATAAGTAATTTATTTTGTAATTATTGCTTGTAATGTCGCTCTCCAAATCCCCACAAAGGTAGGCCAAAAGACCTTGAAGACAGTTCAAACTAAGAAGAATTAAAATTATGAACCAAGAAAGGCAGAAGAAGGAAAGTATGTAAAAATGTACTTGTTCAGTCTTGCTACTATTTCCTGGAGTCAATCTTGGTTTAAAACATAATAAGCAGACCCTGGCTTGTCATACCTACTTTCTCCCAGGGGTTTGAAACTATAATGAAAGCATTTTAACTCAGTGGTAACTGGATTAGAGTAATGCAAGAACCTGCCACCTTGGGACCTCCTGCTTGTGTCTCGGCCTGAATAAATGTGCATGGAAATTGTTTTAAACTGATGGCTGTGCAAGATCACAAGTTATAGTAATGTTGACAGTCTCAGCTTGGAACCTGGCAAAATAGCAAAAAAAGAAAAAAAGAAAAAAAAGTAGAACACGATTGAAAACAGCTCATTTGCTGGCATGAAAGCAATGCTCAAAGGTTTAGACATACAACCTTTGTAGGTCAGTGGTGACAATATTTGCAAAGTGCCACCAGCATCTCCACTGCAAATTGAAGCAACTTAATACAGATCCTTGCTGCAAATCTAAAGCAACTTGATTTCTTTTCCAGCCTCCAGTACTCATAAGAAGCCATAAGTAGAAGTTTCCCAGACTTAAGAGTGTGCAAAGTGATACTAAATCTTCCATCTCCTGGAGGCTGGATAGGAAATGAAAAGGTATAGTTGTCACATTCTGTCACAGCTGAATATGGTGGAAATAATCCAATCAGTTTGTTCCCTTCAAAAGTAGCTGGTGTTTCATTGTGAGTTTTGCCTTCATTATTTCACAGGTTTATGGTACTCTGTCACAGAGGCAAAACATCTGTTGGCAAAGACAAGGGAGGAGAAGGAGATTCTCCATCTTCCTTATGAACATTCAAAGAAGTTCTGGTGAATTTACTGCTGGTGAAAAGTGGCAGCTTGTCAGTTTCCTAGATCCCAGCTTTGGGGAGGCACCAAATGGTTCCTGACTAAAAGCAAACAAACTGTGCATTTTCTACACAGTGAAATTGCATCTTAGTGTCAAATTCGGCAAAGTGGATACAGAAGGGGGATGATTCAGAAAGAACCTAAAATAGTATTTTATTTAGGTCCTCCCCATAAGTCAGTACAATCATAGAAGTCCAGATCTGCTTACTATAAAGCCAAGTTGTTTCCTCAAAGAGACTTGAGTCCATCTTTTCATAGAATGTTATTTGGGTCCTGTTACTAGATCAATAACCAGCATGAAAATCCCTGTCTCACAACTCTTTGAAAAGTGAGTGTTGATGTCTACAACTACTTAGAGAATTCATTTATGTGTTTATGAGTTTGTATGTTTCTCCTTGTAGGAAGACTATGAGACTATCAGAATCTAACTTTATCCCCATTTTAGAGAGTTTGGATTTTCAAATAATTTTGTCACTTGATTTTAAATTTTCCTTAATTTTCAAATTGGGATCAAAATAAGTAAAGTAATGTCAAGTTAAGAAGGCACGCTGTGCTTTTCTTTAATTTTGAAACAGAAATCATAGATTACTTTTGACTGAAAGGAAAAAAGAACAAGAAAGCAACCTTAGAGGTATATGATTTCTACACTTTTTATTTCTGTTTGGCCATTTTGGTGTGTGTGTGTGTGTGTGTGTGTGTGCGCGTCTATATAATTTTTTGTTCAATTTTTAATACCTTCTACACCATATCTGTCTCCTCCTCTATATAGAAATCAGAGGCTATGACATTAGGCATCATGTAAACCTTTAAGTTGGATGCAAGGAACTAATTTTCAAAGCTCCCCAAATATGCCAAGAACAGGCAACTATTTCAAAATCACATAATAGATGCAGGCAACTGGTATATTTAGTATCAAAGGAACAGCTTTTCCCTTTCTTTCTGTTTTATTTTTTTTTTCTTTTCCCTCAGTAGAAGCCAAACTTTATTATAAAACCACAGATAAGTATATCAACTGCTAGAAGGCTGGCACAGCAGAATACAAGGAAATAAGAGATAAGGGAATTTGGTCAAATACAAAAAGTACTGTGGAATTTAAACCAAATGACAGCAGATAAGGATTTCTCTGAGTTTCTATTAAAAATGTAATAAATAAGAGATCCAGAAAAATTCTTTCAGGCCTAGCACTTTTGTTTCTATATTGCTTGTCATAAATGTATGGTATCATCATCAATGCAGGGATTCTATTCATAGTTGCAAAAATACACTTTGCTGAAGTCATGTTAAAAATGCGACAGCTTCAGATGGATGCCCTGTGAGTCTTTCAGTGAAGTTCATCATTTGAATAAATAGACTTTATTTACACACTTAAGGATAATTCTCTAAGGATCCCAAGGTAGTCTGAGTAGTGGATCTTACTGATATTTCATGTGCTGCTGTGGAATTTAAATTGATCTAAATCAGACAAAGTAACACCCCCCCACAACCCAATGAATTTGCATAGATTTATGTAGACCATCTCAGTGCCTTTGGCTCTTCTGACCCCAGGAAGGGACAGAGATTGAGATCTGGACAAAAAGGGACTCTAGCAGTTCCCTGGGATGACAGCACCTTTGGGACCTGCAACTTGAGTGTGATCTGTGGTCTCAGGTGAAGTGGACCATGGTGTCTGCTCCATCTCTAGGGGGTAATAGCCTTGAGTCATAAAATGTATCCTTGCATAATATGGCACATCTGTCAGCCTCAGCATCCCTCAAGCTCAGTTTATATCTATCTTGGGATGGTTCACAGAAGGAAAAGATCACCCCAGTTGGATAGTAGGTTTTCAAGCCATTTTATTTTACTCTATCTTTTGTTCTTATGTGATATGCGTATGTATACCTTTCATCTAGTTGAATTTATGTTTTAAGGCATTTATTTATAGATAATTTCAGAGCATCATATTAGTATTGCAGTAGACTGAAAAAAAAAAAAAAAGACAAACCAAGCCTTATGTAATTCTTTATTCTAGGGTTTCTGCCAGTGTAGGGGATGGAGGTACAATATTATCAACTTTCAGGAATACTTTCTATTGAATGTGGCAACAGATAGGCATGGTAAATTTTGTGCCATAAATAGTCAACTAATAGCTTTGGGTATCAAGTCATGAGTGAGTATAGCTATCATTTAAGCAAATGCCGAGTCCTTCAAGAATAGGCTATGTAACTACTTGTGACATATATAATGTCATAATTCAATAGCAATTTAAACAATCAGTTCAAATTTTGAATATTTTATATTATTATGCCTTAGGTTTTCTGGGCCTAGGGAGATGTTGGTGTTCAAAAGATATTGAGGAATCCAGGCTCATGTGGAACACAAAAGATGAAGATAAGATATTCCCAAATTAACTATGAAGATGTTTAGAGTGTCGTTACAGCTAGAAAATCTAACTCTAATCACTTTTAAAAGTTGGTCACCTTTTAAGCTATCTAGTTCTTTTTTTGGAAAACAGTTTAAGATTTGGTATAAACAGAACATTTCTACTCATTTATAAACGGGGTTCTCATAAATCTTTATAGCTTCCGTGCTGTGACCCAGAGTAAGGAATGGATGTGAGGTTGGATGAAGGCTGAACACCTTGCTCTCCCTGTTTCTTACTCTTTGGGTGAAAAATCTTCCGCAGTATTATCTCTGAATAGTTACATGAAATTCCTTCTTACCCCATGCAAAAATATTGGATTGATGACAAACTTCAATTAAATGAAATAAATTAGTATGTGTAAGGTGTTTAGGATAGCATCTGGCACATGGTACTGTATAAGTGCTGATTATCATACTCAATGTTAATTTATTATTTTTATTTCTCAATGCATATTTCTAGATTAGAACACAATTATTAGGCTCATGTGATTTGTCAGGGCCTCTTAGCAAAATGAAATTTACAAAACCGTAGGCCATTGGCAGAATAAGCACAGAAGTTCTTACTCTCTTTACATAAAATTTGACCGCTGATGTTACATTTTAAAAATAATTTGCACATTTGATGTATTCATAACTATTTATAGTATGAGAAAATTTTTAAAGAAAATCTTGTCACAATGAGAATTAATTTAAAATACTTTTTTTTAAGTATATAGATTAATGAAGCTGTGTTACAACTTGATAACATCTTGAGTTTCACTTGAAGCTGTAAACCTCATTTGCGAATGAGTTTATGTGGGTACATATGAGTGTAATTATCTGGCTAGCTTCTGTGTTTGTGAATCTAGAATGCCCTGTGGCAAACCTGAGACCTTCCTTCATGTTTCACAAATTGTGAGCACTGCTCACACATTGATAAGATTCTCTGTCCAAAAAAAAAAAAAAAGAGAAAATTATATATTTTTTAGACTTTAGTTATTAAAAGGTAAGTTCTCTAGAGGTCTTTTCATATATATATATATATATATATATATATATATACATGTTTCACATATATATATGCTTATATGTACATTTTATACATAGGAATATATCATGTATTGATCCGTTTAATCTTATTTTGTCATTATTTAAAGATCATTTTTAGAAGTAGTCTTAGTTATGTTAGATAAAACAGAAAATAGCTTTTGTACTTCAAAATGGAAGTATTTTGTCAAATATTTTTGGGCTTTAGCATCCTGTTAACTAATTACTCAGGATATATAATAATATCTCTAAATATAATGGCATGATTATTAGTTTAATTAGATAAAAGTAGCATGAATGAAAATTTCCTGCTTTGATTTTCAGATTTATCTACAACAACATCATTACTAAAATAGTTCAAAATATACTGTGTACTAAAATAATAATTGGGGAATATACGGGTAGGAATGCAATTGACTTTAAATCTAGTTAATTAGTAAACAAAAATAATTTCTTCTTCTCAATAGCAAGACCTTTGTTTTCATGTACAATTCATACCTATAGTATTGGTCACAATCTTATTTAGTAAAATAAATGATTAATAGGTGATTTTTGGGTAATTGGCCATTTATGATGGCTTTAAAAAAGTTAAATGGTTATATAAGACAAATCAATTAAAAAATTTTTGTTTATGTTATTCAATTATCTTAATGACATTGTGAAAGGATCATCACATATTAAGCACTTTGATCTGTTATAAAATTGCTAAAAAATACTTCACAGAATAGTTATGTCTGGAATTAGTTAGACCTATTTCTCTTTTTTAACCTTAATAGTTTCCATATTTAAGTAATTCTGCATTTATTTAACAAGCAAATTCTGTGTTTTAATTATCAAGGAATGTAGGTCTATTATATTGTTTCATAAGAACTCTGTCTAGTAAAAACTTACAATAGGGTATTTCCACTGCTGCCATTTCAGCAGCGCTAAAGGCACACACACACACACACACACACACACAAATGCTCAGTTCATCAGGCCTTTACACTGTCAGTGAACGTGTGTGTGTCTTTGTGTATGTCACACCCTCTAAATTCAGGTGGCTTCAAGCTGTGCCATATAATTCTAGCCTCAATTAAACTTTCCAAGGTCAGCACTACTGCACCAGGTCAGACATAAATAAGGCAGAGGATAGTCCTAGGGTACAGGAAGGCCATATTTATTCTTTATTCACAGTTCAAGGCTATCAAATGAATCCTAGCAGAGAGAAAAGACAGAGGAAGAAAGGAGGACTCTCAAAAGGTACTTTCCAGCTAAGTGCAACCTTTGTTAAAAAAATGAAATCCATATATGTATAATTCAAGACCCAGGGAATTAGTGGGGTGTGTGTCTCTTTTTTTGTTCCCCTAAGAATGCAACTTCGACCGGAGCTCAGTGGAGAACATGTTGGTATGATTCCAAATCACTAGCACAGAAATCAAGAGACCCAATTTCTAATTTTCTTTGTGCGGCTAACCAGCAGGCTAAACAGATACATATATCATCACTCTCAATCTCCTCTTCATAAAATCAGAAGTATGAAATGCATAAATCTATTGAGTTTTCAAGTTCTAAATTCTACTTGAGTCTGAATTTCACTTCAATAGTATTAGTAAAGTAAAAACAAACTAAATTAAAGAAATACATGATAGTATATATCTGATCATATATGATATACAAAGATAAGTTTTTAGAATATATAGAGAACCCTTACAACAATAACAGACAAACATTAAAATCTGCAAATAAAATTAACAGATACTCACTGAGAAGGGAATTGGGTTAACTGATAAACACTTGAAAAGATGTTCAATCTGTTTGAAAAAGCCACAACAGTTACCTATTGAACAGTGTGTGTGATCCACCAGCTTGAGGGAGCTCGTAATTTTCACTTTAGATTGTATGCTCTTCCATTTGATGGTGTTAGATCTTTGCAAAGATTTCAGAGCTGTAGCTGTAATAAAAAGAAAGAACCTTGTGACCAACACACAATTATGGACATTGTTAGGAAGAAATCTAGTTTATTGTTCTCCACTCTATCTCAGCACAGTACTCTCAGTCGGGTGAAGTAGAATTTGATCCTTAAGCATGGGGCAATGGAATCATTAGTAGCCTATGCTAGCATATGATGTCTGTTATTTCTTATAAGCTAAATAATAAATACTCAATGAAGTAAATAAGTTAGAAAGAAAGGAGAAAGAAAAGGGAGAAAGCAAAAATGTGCAAAATGGATTGAGAAATGGTGATAGACTTTTGGGTAGATGGCACAGATTTCCATTGGAAGTAAGAATGACAGATTTGAGAAAACAAAACAAAATAAAAACAGAAATAAGAGAACATACTTATTCTAAAAAAAGCCTCTGTCTGTCTGAATTTCAAATGTAACTGGGCATTGTTGATTTTATTTGGCAGCTCAGCATAAAAACGATCAATAGGTTATACAGAATGCAGACAATAGCACTTACAGTTAGGGAAATGGTATCAGCATGGCAAGACTTTCAAAGAATTTCTGTAGGGGAAGGGCAAATCGTACCAGAATGAAGCACTTAGAAGAGTCAAGAGCTGAATCACAATCCCTCTCCCATGAGAAAAGCGGCTACCATTGAAGAAAATGCTGCAATCCTGTGGGAATTCAAGGAAACAAACATGAGTTCTTGACATAGACTGGTGAGTATGGTACATGAAGATGGCAGTGACCAGGTGAAAGCTGAGCATGCAGGGAAGGTGAGCATGAAAGAAAATGCCTCCATTTGTAAACAGAAAATGCAAGCGGTAGAAGGATGCTGCCATGATGAATTCGGCAGACAATTAATTTTGGGGAGAAGAAGATAAACTTGAGATACAGCTTAGCTGACCCAGAGATGAATCAAAGTAAGATCTCTACAGTGGGAATTTTCAGACATGAAAAGATCTGCATGAATGAACATCTATGCCAGAAATTGAAAACATGAAGTGTAAGTCATGTGAAATTCACGTAGATTGGGAATCATCGTAACAGTAATCAATACAAATAAAGTGACACTATTCTGAAAAAAACCAATTGCAGGGACATAGAAAAGTAGAGAGAGAGAGGAAATAAAAACTTCACAAACAATAATAAAAAAACAAATACAATCTGATATGACTTCCTTTGACTTTTCTACTAAGTAAAAAATACTTTTAATTTTGAGTTGAAGAAGCATATTAAATTTTTTGCTGTCTATAAGGAATCATGCTAAAATACAAAGAAAATAAAAATAAAGACAAAGGATATATTACAAAAACCAGTATAAACACATGCAAAGGAACACGAGTGGAAGTGAAATTCAAGATGCAATGGTAAACGCATAACTTTATATTACTAAAAAATCACAGAGTCAAAAATCTGTGAAAGTCTAGAAAAAAACCAGGTGAATAAGTTATAAACCACAACTGTGGTAAAAGAATTTATCAAATGAATGTCAATTCTTTAAATAATATATTGAGACTTGCTCTCCAAGACCAGAGAATACTGTTTTTTCAGGTACCTTAGAAAATTTACTAAAATGTATCACATTGATGGCAAAATACCTCAAAATTCTAAAAGGATGAATTTCAGAAGGCATAGCTCCTGGTTATTATTCTGTAAAAGACTCCCCAGAAATTAGAATTTTAAAAACGAAAACTGAAAATATATAAAATTGCATATGGAAAAGGGGCTCTAAACATAGACACTGGGGAAATTTTTGTAAAGAACATTTTAATTTTTATCAATCAATATTATTAAATTTGCAAACCTTAACAGAGTTTTTTAATGAAAGAACAGAGTCCAGCCTGGACAACATAGTAAGACCCCATCTCTTTAAAAAATAAAGAAAAACTACAAATCACTAAAATTGCAATTGTAAACATCAGTATATCAATAACCTTAGACTAATATGACAAGGACTCAAAAATGCACTTGGTCAAAATAGTTTGAATGCCAAACTCAATTTATCAGTGAAAATATGATATTGAAGATGTTACAGCAATTAGAGAAAAAGATGAAAAAATTCTCAACATATTTCCAAATGTATATAATTCCAATAACACCAAATTCAAAAGGCATATATGTGCTTATGTGGATGCATGTATACACACACACACACACACACACACACACACACACACACACACACAGGATGTTAACCCTTTTAATGACAGTTAATAGCATTTTTTGAAGTGCACACAAGAAGATCAATAAAATTTCATAAGTTTTAGAAGAAAATTTTAAAATACAATTCTAGCTTATTGTATTTATCAGTATGAACAAAACAATAACATAATGTGTCTAAGCCAAATTTTATTAAAACTGACAAGAAGGACTACCTAGTAGAAATCTATTAATATGATTTATATAATTGGTGACTAAAGTAAGAAAAAAAATATACCTGAGTACATGGATAAAAGCCAAAATAAATACATTTTTATCACTTATGGAACACTTTTTATAAAACTCTTGGCAAGGCTGGGCACAGTGGTTCACACCTGTAGTCACAGCAATTTGGGAGGCCAAGGTGGGCAGATCACCTGAGGTTGGGAGTTCAAGAACAGCCTGGCCAACATGGTGAAAACTCATCTGTACCAAAAATACAAAAGTAAGTGGGTGTGGTGGTGAGCGCCTGTAATCCCAGCTACTCGGGAGGCTGAGGCAGGAGAATCACTTGAACCTGGGAGGCAGAGATTGTACTGAGTCGAGATCACGCCACTGCAGTCCAGCCTGGGCTACAGAGCGAGACTGTATCAAACAACAACTACAAACTAGGCAAATTTGATGCCGAGAGGGAATTTAAAAGCATCATGAAGAGATCTATAGCAGGCCACTAACATGTAAGTACTAGGGGAATGCACTCGAGAGAGCAGAGTGGAGCACAACTGTTAGGTTTGGATCCCATGGAGTTGTCAAAGGCAGTGTACAACCAGACGCTAATTCAACAGGCTCAAAATCAGCAATCTTTGACTTGGCTGATGTCATCTGTTCCTGTGGCCGGGTGGTCCCCTGTGTTTTTGAGTTTCTATTTTCTGCTCTGGAGTGACTCCAATTAAAGTTTGGGGCAAGATAAGGAGACTTATTAGCAGTTTAAAAATATGGTATGAGAGATCTAGTGTACAACATGAATCCATACTAGATCATATTCAGAATTTTTGTGAAATGGGTAGATTTTTGGCTGTTCTTGCCGCAAACACAAAATGAGTAACTACGTGAAATGATGGATATGTTAATTTACTTCACTACAATAATAGTTTGACTGTCTAAATGTACGCCATAGCATCATGTTGTATATCTTAAATATTCACAATACAATTTATTTAGAAAAAAATCTCTAGCCAATATTATATAACAAGAAAAAGGGATTAAAAATTGTAACAAAACGCTAGTGATGAGAAGGCAAACATCACTCTCTGCAGATCACTTTTAACCATGTAAAGAAAAGCAAAGAAAATTAACTGAATGCCATCTTATAAAGTGTATAGATATATAAAATATAAGCAAAGCTATACTTTCCTTATATACTAAAAAATAAGCAGTCATAAATCTCCCCCCCCAAAAGAACATATTTACAAAAGTAACAAAAATGTAAAAAAAAAAATCAAGAAACAAGCTTATCAAACATGCACAAGACCAAGGCATACAACGTCAGAAAATTTTTGTCAGGAAAATGAAATTTTTTAAAATTGTAAATAAACAAACACGTAGCAAGGTTCCTGGATTGGAAGAATCAATATTGATAACATTAATGATTTGTTTCCTTGTTCATTTATTCATTTTTTCCAGATTACTTACTGAATACCTACTCTAGGTTGCACTTCAAACTAGGAGTCAGAGACTCCTAACTGGAACTTTTCTTTCTTTCTTTCTTTTTTTTTTTTTTTGACAGAGTATCACTCTGTTGCCCAGGCTGGAGTGTGCAGTGGTGCCATCTCAGCTCACTGCAACCTTTGCCTCTTAGGTTCAAGTGATTATCTTGCCTTAAACTCCAGGGCATCTGTAATTACAGACATGCACCACCATGCCTTACTAACTTTTGTATTTTTAGTAGAGACCGGATTTTACCATGTTGGCCAGGCTGTCTCAAAGTCCTGATTGCAAGTGATCCACCGGCTTCAGCTTCCCAAAGTGCTGGGATTGCAGGTGTGAGCCACCAGGCCTGGTGGTAACTGGAATTTTGAAAGTAGGCAAAATGCTTCTGAAACATAAAAAGAAGTGTGAATGAGGAGAAGCCTGCTCTGCCAATAAGATAACAGCAATCAGTAAATGAGTGGACACAGTACAAGATGAGGAAGATGCTTAAGAGGAAAACATGAGAAAGCCCTTCAATAAAAAATGACGAAAAAATTAATGTCAAATAATGCCAGGGTTGGCAAAAAAAATTGTGGGAAGGAACAACTCAATGCATTGTTTGTAGAATGGAAATCGGCGCAATTGATTTAGAAAGTCTTTTTTTTTTTAGCAAAGTAATTACTCCATGGACTGCAGGAAGGGTACCCCCTTGCTAGCCATCTTGCCACAAGAGTACAATGAACAAGGAAGATTTAGAAAGTCTTTTGGTAACACCTGTCAAAGTTGAAAAAGATGCACTTTTCACATTGTTGCTTCTTGGTGCCTCCGCGTGAGGAATGTTCACATTTATTCTCAAAAAGGCCCAAAGATGTTCAACATTATTTGCCGTAGGAAAATTTATACCATTACATAATTTTCAGTTAAAATTTGTTAAACGAGTTAACGTGTTCACATGTATTAATATATACAAATCTTTAACAAACTGGCCAAAAGAAAGGATATATACAATATGACAATATTTGTGTAACTTTAAAAAAATCTAAAATAATGGTGGATATACTTAATGAATCCAACCATGTGCACAAAAACCTCAGGAAAGAAATACTTCAACATGACAGTTACCTTTAAAAAAGAGCAGAGAAGGATTCACTAGGGCTAACAGGCTTTTAGATACCATTGCATTATTTTCTTTTAAACTAATACTTAATAGTTATTAATATTGGTGTTAATATTTAGGTATCCATTATAAAGTTGGTTGCATTTATCAAGTTTTTGAAGTCTTAGATAATTAAGAAGTAAGTTAAGAAAGTGAAACTTTCACAACCACAGAATGTAATGTTTGGTAATTTGAAAACAATTAGTTAAAAAATCATGAAGTTCTTAACATTAAATTTTATGGAAAAAGTAGAACGACTTGCTGATATTAACAATCACTTCATGAAAAATCTTCTAATGAGATGGGTAAATGTGTATGATAGACTATGTGAAAATTGCCACATATTAATGAGACTGCAGTGCTGTCTGATCCTAGTTTTATGATACAAACACATATAAGTAAAGTATAGATAGAGACTATACAAGAAAATTAAAACTGCTTATCGGAGTCAGAATAATACATTTTTCTTCTGATTTGTTATTTTTTCGATTTATGAAAATGTGTACATATATTTAAAATCCATATTTTGAAGTTAGATAGATGAAATCATAAAGGTTCAACATTATAAAGCTTGCCAATCACCTGCTATGCCCCAGGCACATCATTGTACAAATTAATCCACTCTATACTCGAGTCCAGGGTATGAGCCAGTTGCTAATGAGACACAGTTAAAGAATGAGGAAGCAGATCTTGTACCTGGAAATAACTCAGTGATACAGGGTAGAACAATTTGCTCAGTACCCTTGGGTCTTTCTTCAGCTTGCATTTCTTTAGACAGTTGACCATCACAATCAAGGACATAGCTGTGACCAGAAGCATATGAGCTAACTCAGGGATAGGTGGGGATTTGGCTAAAGAGTGCTAGACAATCCACTCCAAGGTAGTTGCTGTTTGTTGTTGTTTGTTTGTTTTGTTTGATAGATTTTTCTGTTAGGGCTTCAGGTTGGCATTTGTAGCCTGAGAATAGCAATATCTCTTTCACAGGTTTCTTTTTTAAATTTTTACACCAGAAATCATTAACAAAATCTTTTAGTTCCTGATAGGCACTCAATACATGGTAATTTAATCTGACCCTGCTAACATGCCTTTAACGAAGAATTTTAAAATGCAGCTTCCACGGTTTGTTCTTCATTAACTGATGCATTTTTATTCTTTTTTAAATCACAGCCAAATCAGGCCTATTTAAAAGAATTTTCATCGAGCTATGTTTCTCTTCCCCTTGTTTCTCAAAGTTCAGCAACGTGCCTTGTAGGCCTGTCCTGAACCGTTAAAATCTACCTCTGGGTCCTGTGATGTGACTTTTCCTCTCCTAAATATTCAATCTTTAATATTGGAAGGTTAGCATCACATAAACAGTACATCACTGGCCTCTGTTTCCTATTAAGACACTTTGTGTGCAATCATCTCAAAGACCATAGAGATATTAATGAAGGAATAGAAATCCAGTACTTTCTCAAGTCCAAGGTAGATTAGTTACAACATGTACTGATCTGTCAATTACCTTACAAAGAAAAGAAGATGTGTTCTGCACTTTGTTTTGCTATGTGGTCCCAGTCTGCTTGAGCTTTCCAGCCGGTCTTTTGTCTAGAACTCGTATTATATCTTCGAGGAAACTCAACAGAAGTGACGTGGCCAGCCTCTCCCCAGGGCAGACCTGGAACTCTGCAAAACAAAAGTACCCACATTCTCTTTGGCGAATTCGTGTGCAGCATGAAGATTGACACACAGTTCACAACAATCTTTGTATTAAGGATACAGAAGCACAGATACAGGCACACAAGAAAGGGAGTAACTTCCAATAATGATTAAGATACTGTCAATAATACTCAGGGATTTTCCACTGATAAATTTTTTTATATACTTAATTTAATTTGATTATTGTAAGAACTCCATAAGTTCAGGGATAGGATGGCTAAAATGTATTATGGATATTCCACTGCCAGATAGTCTGCTGAGCATGTCACATGCATTAATCCATTTAAAGCCATGTGTGTTATAATTTTTCCTTTCGAGGTGAAGAGATTAATATCTAGTGAGGAGATGGTGGTGTGACAGTGGCCACACAGCCACCGAATGGGTGAGCTGGAACTCAAACCTAGAATAATGAGGTGGGCAAAAGCGTTTTTATTTGTTTTTTGTTTGTTTGTTTGTTTGTTTGTTTGAGACGGAGTTTCGCTCTTGTCACCCAGGCTGGAGTGCAATGGCGTGATCTCGGCTCACCGCAACCTCCGCCCTCTGGGTTCAGGCAATTCTCCTGCCTCAGCCTCCTGAGTAGCTGGGATAACAGGCACGCGCCACCACGCCCAGCTAATTTTTTGTATTTTTAGTAGAGAGGGGGTTTCACCATGTTGACCGGGATGGTCTCGATCTCTCGACCTCGTGATCCACCCGTCTCGGCCTCCCAAAGTGCTGGGATTACAGGCTTGAGCCACCGGGCCCGGCCAAAAGCGTTTTTATTTTAAGAGCCGGCACTGCAATTCTTCCCAGGGAGAGAATGGTAGTAAGGGCGTTTTGCTAAATGCTTGATGCAGTAGGCTTGCATCACATCAGAAAAATGTTTGGGCTTCTTGATAACATAGGGCAGGTTGGGTAGTTGATGGTGCGTAAGGGAGAAGAGACATTGAATGAGCAACCAAGAATCACTGCTCAGTGAGTGAAGGGCATCCTCACACTAAAGCACTGTAGCCTATTACACTTAAAACTCTGGTGTTTGCATTTGTCGTGGGCATCAAACAGCAAATTTTATGTTGGCATAGAAATGGCAGGACTAGAGAACAGTGCTTAGGAAGGTTATGGGGATGCAGCAAAAGGGATTACCCTAAAGCCATGATAATGTGAAATGAGTTATACCGTGACTTTAATTGGACAAGCAAAGAAAATGAATCACAAGTACATTTTCCCAATACCACAAACCAGTCAGTGTTTCAGCCAGGATTTTAACCCATGCTGTTTGGGTCCAGTGTCTACATGGCAGGCAGCTATAAAATCCAAAACGGTGGGATTCCTATTGTTTTTAAGAATTCAAAGAAGTTTTGTGCAGAAATGGAACAATTTTAGACCCCAAAACAAGTGGAATTCCTAGGCCTTGCAGAAAAGATTGTTTTTCTAGTGACAAAAGGAACTGTGGGTCATATTAGGGACCTTAAAATTGGGATTAAAAATAAACAAAACAAGAAAAGGCTTCAGGAGAATAATTTTCATAAAACTGTAATAAAAAAATTTTAGCATCCTGAAACATTACCGAGTTGATATATTTGGTTTTTTTCTTACTGTCAGGTCTTCAAAAATTGTTATTAGTGAAATCTATAAGACTGAAGAAAGCAGAAGAGAAATGGAGGGACAGGTGGAATAACTTGGGGAGAATTCTGTGCTTCCTGCAATGAGAAGGCATCCACCTGTCCAGGGACAAGGAGAAGGATTTGGAGACTAAATCTATTTTGAAGGATGTGTTCAGTATTCATGGCGATAAGACTTCTTTTAGGGACATTTGGTGTCTGCAACATTGATGTGTTCATCAGAGGCTATAATTACTGAGAACAGACATGATACTCTGGAAAATAAGCATAGTGTCCTGAATGGAACTAGTCACAGCTGGCATATGGCAAAGACACATCCTTGTTTACTGAAGTCGGAAACACCTGAGTATTTCATATCCTTCAAAAGTTTCCTTGATGAGTGTATCTCATTGGTGTGTCCCACAGGTCTGCCATTATGGGATCTTTATGCCTACCCTAATCACAATATAAACCCGTTTATCCATGTTCTATTATAAAATATATATAAAAAACATGAAATGTTCATTCTTATTATAATTCCACACATTCTTCATGAACCTTCTAAAACTACTCCACAGTTTTTGCTTTTCTTTTCTGGAGAACAAATAATCTCATGTCCTTTTATCTTTCCCCAGAGGTCCCATTTTCCCATGCTTTAATCATTTTTATTGTTCCCATCTGTACCTACTTTAATTTCTTCTATCCCTTTGAAAATGTGTATCTATGAGTTAGATACAGTACTCTTAAAATTGGAATTGATCTAAAATAGCTATTGATCTGTTACTGGAATTCCTATCTATATTTGGATAAGGCAATATAGAAAAAATGATGGCAAAAACAAGGGGGAAAAATGGGAGAAACTGGTACCATGTGAGAATAGTTTCAGATTCAGAGGTAATTCTAAGTAGCAAAACTTGCCCTAAAGATAAATAAGAAAAGTCAGAAAGATGTAAGAAAATGGCTATTATGGAAGATACATAAAATATATAAAGAACACAAAAATTTTATCTATGAAATGATTACAACCGCAAATGCATGCCTGCATATAAATGGGCAAGCACAGAAAAAGAAATATTCAGAGGTCAGTCTTTCTCAGACCAGTGTAAGTTCCTGCATTTATTTTCAATTTTAATTTTCCCGATTTTAGTAGTGCTACATGTGCAATAACTAAAACTTACAGTTTTAAAAGAACTATCTGAGGAATAAGAAAAGGAAATCTGGGACACCTAATAATGTAATAATTAAGAATAGTTAAAAAACAAAAGAAAGTCCTCAAAGTACATATAGATCTTTATTATTCTAATGCATTTAGTAAATCCTACAGAGATTATTGACTTTTGCTGTTCATGCTTGCAGTGAATGGGTATTGAAAAAACAGGCTGGGCTCAGTGGCTTACGCCTGTAATCCCAACACTTTTGGGAGGTTGAGCATCACCTGAGATCAGGAGTTCAAGACTAGCCTGGCCAACATGGTGAAACCTCATCTCTACTAAAAATACAAAAATATTAGCCAGGCGTGGTGGCACACACCTGTAATCCCAGCTACGCTGGAGGCTGAGGCAGGAAAATCGCTTGAACTCAAGAGGCAAAGGTTGCAGTGAGCCGAGATTGTACCACTGCACTCCAGCCTGGGCGACAGAGTAAAACTCTGTCTCATTAAAAAGAAGAAAAAAAGGAAAAAGAAAAAATAATATCACCTTTAGGACTCTGGAATTTCTAACCCTATCCTCCAAATTAAATTACAATTAAAACTCAAATGAAAAACATCTGAAAAAGAAAAAGTAGTCTCGATATAATAGTATTGAGGATTGAGAAATGCTCTAACACATCATGTTGGCTAACACCCGAATTTCACAGACAGCAAACTAAGGTCCAAAGAGTAGGAGTAAATTTAACATGTCAATAGAGAAATACAGGTTACAGGCAAGTTCTGATATGAAGCATATCCAGTTATTTGTGTGTGATACTTTATTAAATACTGCACATGACTTAAGAGTAAAATAATCCCATTAAATGAGAGTGTTAGCTCTTTCTTTGTAATTTCTCTCTTGATAGAACCCATGTTTCCAGTCAACTGATATTTCTCACAAGTGCAGCCAATGCAGGGAATGAAAGGTGTTTGACCTTGTTTTGGCTCACAAAGGGAAAAAAGAGAATATCATAAATACATAAAAATTATGACTATCAAAATTCCATAATATTTTTATGTAATTAAGATAGAATCTTGTTTTAGTTTATCAGGTGCATTTTCTTTATGTTCCTCTTAACATATATATACACACACACACAAATATATATATTTACACTCCCACACATATATACGTGTATATATTTTCTCGCCAAGTTAATTTTAATCAACTAGGTTCTCTTTTACTGTTTTGTTCATGGCTTAAAATTATATCTTGAGACTTTCCTGAAACATTAGTGCCATTTCTCATCTTATATCTTTGATCTGTAGAAGAGTTTTCCTCCTTAATTCTTGGTATCATTCCCACACTCAAGTATCATTTTTATGATCCTACTTGAGTTAATGAGACCCAATCATTGTTTCTACCAACCATAGAAGATAAGAAAATGTGGGGGTAAGAAGAAGGGGAGGAAAATGAGGGACTTTAAAAAGTCAGTACAGATGCTAAGAAACCAAGAGCATTTTCTTTATCTACCGGTGAGCAGAGGCTAGTTTTGCTACAGTAACAATCTCAGAATATCTGTGGTTTCACACAACAAAAGTGATTTTCACTGAAAATTGACTAGGAGTCGGGACAGATTTTCAGGGCAGCCTTCTTTACCTGCTGGCACAGTGAGCCAGGTTGCTTTGCTTTATGGCACCACAGTATCATCACTTGCTTCCACGATTATTGCAGCAGGAAAAGAGTAAGTACCATAAAGAATCAGAAAGTAGACTGGGCACGGTGTTTCACGCCTGTAATCCCAGCACCGTAAGTTCCATAGTTCCTGCTACAGTTTAAATGTGTCCCTTCCAAAATTCAAATGTTGCCCACATGATACTATTAGGAGGTGAGGCCATTCAGAGGTGATTAGACCACGAGGACTCCTCCCCCATGATTGGGCTTGGGTGCCTTATAAAGGGGATAGGGACAAGGGAGTAGGTTCCTGTGGCTCCTCCATGTGAGGATTCCGCTAGAAGGTCCTCACCAGATACTACAGGCTTGATCTTGGATTTCTTAGCAACCAAACTGTCAGAAATAAATTTCTGTTCCTTGTAAGTTAGCTAGTCTTAGGTGTTCTGTTACAGCACTACAAATGGAAAAGACACCTCCCAAAGTGGTGCACATTACTTTCATTTTTATTTCATTGTCCATAAGTGATCACAGAACCCTGCCTCATTTCCACTGATCAGGGAAGGGCAATCTTCCTGTGAGCCTG